AAAGAAAAATTTTACATTTTTTCGCCTGTAGGAAAAATATTGTACTTGCGGAAAATATTTTTCCGCACGCGGCTGCCGTTCACCGAACGACGCGTAGCGGAGTTCGGTGATGCATTTTCCGCACTTGTAAATAGCTATTTTATTGCTAAATGTATCCATACTTTATTTTTTTCCAAGATAGATTTTGGCCTTGTCAACTTTGAAACATAAACAATGACGTTAATGCCGGTTATTGGTCGCTATTGTAAAACTGATGTCAACCTGTAGATACACCTCATTTTGCCACCAATCAGGGTCAAGCTTTATTGTTTATGTTTCAAAGTTTTCAATGTCAAAATCTATCTTGGGAAAAAATAAAGTATATGTTTAGAAAATCTCAGAATATCTTATAGTAAGACAAGACCTACACAGTCGCTGTCTGAGAAACATTATACGATTTCAAATACCACAGCACATAACCGAAGGTTTTAAAAACTCATTTTCTTACCGAGCGGTACAACTACTTAATACAGAGGTGTATGAATTTATGATTTCAGGTTCACTGGTAAACTTTAAAAAAAAGTACAAGGCTTCTCTGCTGGAATTAATAGCGTAGCTTAGAATAGGCATTGAATTCTGTATTTATTCATTTATTTATTTTTTCGGGTAGCATGGAAGAACACATTACGTGAATGTTACCTTTTATGTAATTTCTTTTGATGCATAATAAACGTTATTATTATTATTATTATTATTATTATGTTTAGTTTATTCCATATGTTTGAGGGCAGAGTTCAAGTATGATTGAAAGGTTTTTTAATGTGTATTTATTAGTAAAACACATTATATGAGATTGGCGTGGGTGTCAAAGACTGGATCAAGTGATTATGGCCATGTACCAATTATTGACTGATGTGTCAATGAATGGATCTCATAACAAATTTAACGCAATCACAGCAAAATAGTGCAATATTTGACAGAACGATCACATCTTATTATGAGCACAAAACATCCCCCCTTAGAAATGTAAGTCTTATGAGAGACGTCAGTCTAGTCGTTTCAGCTTTCCCCTCCAATCACTAGAGGCGCTTCAATCAACCTATTAAAGTTTTCTTTTTCCTGCCGGACCGTGCGCCAAGATTTGAAGTTTATTTTGTCATTTCCAGTCGTCAAAATTTAAATTTTGAACTTCTCCCAACATTTAGAATTATCAATTACCTATCAATTATCAATAATTATTATCTCAAAATGTCTTCTCCCAGTTTGTTAATTGAAAAGCATCAGAAATGCTGTGTTCCGGGGTGCGGCGACAAATACAGCAGCTATTTCCGGTTTCCAAAAGATGCCGAAAAAATGAAACAATGGCTAATAAAAGTTCGCAATCCTTTACTAAATAGCCTCAGTGTCGAGAAGGCTTATAATAATTATAGAGTGTGAACAAGACATTTTCCTCGAGAATTTATTGTTGGGGATCCAAAAGCCAGACGAGGACTCACATGGAATGCTGCGCTTTTGCTGTATCTCCCTGAAGGTAAGTTAATACTAGATATATGTGAGAAAGACGTACTTACATTTTCACTTACCCCTCCCCATAGTTCTGATTAACGACAACGTGTTAGAATTCGGGTTTAAAGGAGCATAGGTCAGAAACATTAAAATTAATTTTAATTTTAGCCCCAATTATCAAAAACAGTGAGGAGTCGTTAATTGATAAACCACAATCACCAAAATGGCAAAAAGTGGAGATCGACACAGTTGAAACTCGTAAGAGTCCTAAGACGTCTTAAGAAATTAGTTTCGCAACTATGAATGACATAGGTAGGTAAACATAATAACTCTGTTCCAACACGTCAAAAAATCGTCCCATGAACGGTTTCGAAACCACTCAGTATAACAATTTTAGTTTCTGCGCAGAATCGTGACGGTACATTGTACGGTTTTCTGCTGTGTTGGAACAAAGCTAATATTATTCATTTCTTTTTTTTTAATGTTTATTCCTTTATCAGGCGACACAATAATTAAAATATTCCTGCTCACATACAGGTACACCATATTCTACAATGCGTGTATCCAAACTTTTTTGATAGAATCATTGGTAACGAAATTTCTGTTTTAGATCAACCAGGCCCTTCATGTCGTCAATTTTTATCTACTGAAACTTCTGCAATTCGGGCAGATATTGCTACACCAAGTAGAACCATCACATCTGCAAACATGAAAAAGTCACCAACCAACTTTTATTGGTAGGTACCTAAGTGTTATTGCTTAATGAATAACCACCCAGTTGGGAGTAGATGAATTTTAAAACATCCTAACTCAAGTAGGACTACTACTATAAAAGACTACTAATTACTAAAACTTGCAGTCGAATGCTAGAAAAATTAGAAGCTAAATGTGCGAAAAGCTCGTCTCCAATCTTGATCTATTTTTTTTTTGCAGGTCATGAGAGACGATGCCAAATTTTAAAGAACATTAACGTCACTAAGCAAAAATTCCTATCCCCAAGGGAAAAATATCTTTATTCCAAAGTTATAGAATCCAGCAATAAGTTAAGAAGAATCAGTAGAAGGTTGTCGTCATTTAAATCCAAAGTTTCTGCTGCTGAATAACTTGCATCATAAACCAAATTTCAAAAGCTCGTAGACCACGTCAATCCATTGATATACAGCTTTATTTTAAGCCAAGTCCGTACTCAAAACCAAAAGCCTAAAGTTAGACGATTTACATTGGACGAGAAGTTGTTGGCGTTCTCTTTGCTTAAAGCTAGTGGTAAAGGGTATAGACTATTATCAAAAATATTTATTCTATCATCCAGGCGAAATCAGTTTCTTGAATGAGCTTTATAATATGTATAACTACATAAACTTTCTACCTAACACATGCGGAAAGTGTATTTTCTGGACTTAAAGGCTTGTCCGAACTCTGCTTTTTGTTGTCATTCGTGCAATTTCCATCACGTGCAGAAACACTTTCCTCATTTGTTAGGTTAACAACGATTTTGGATTGTGAGAAAAGGACCTCTTTTGTCATTTTATTTACGATTTAAGTTTTTCATCAAGCTATTGTTAAATGTACGTCATTACTTCTTGTAACTGTCCTTATTATCTTTAACTTAACTAGCATTACCTACCTATGTATGTATAGTACAACGGTCGAAATTTGATCGTGGCGCCATCCAAGACAAAACTTCAACACCAAGCAACGCGTCTATGGATGGAAAAGCATGGAAAATCAAACCAAATATTTTCTCATCTATGTATGTATACTTACATGAAAAAAAACTGTTTCGCAATAATTGTAATTAATTCCATATTCTATTATATTTTCTGTTTCAAACTTTAATAAATATCTAAATTTGTCATCTTAATTCTTAGTCAATAGACCGATCTCCTATTACCTGGAATGCGCGCGTCGCTTGTAGGCTGCAGGTGAGCGTCCAATAAGAAGCAAGTTGGTGACAGGCTTGCGTCATATTCTTATTCAGGGGCCAGTTCAGAATTAATCATTCCTTCTTTCTTTGTAACGTGTAATTTGACAAAGAGCAAACTAATACTTTATATATTACTTGAACTCACCGCAGTTCCGTTTAAGGTTATGTTAGTTTATACTTGACATATTCCTTTGCAATTTCATTGAGCGATGTTGCCGGATGAAACATTTATCGAAATAAAAGTGCAAACGATGTTCATCCACTTTTAAACTCTTCTTTTGTCTGATTTAAGGCATTGTAAAACACTTGACACTATATCACTTCTTTAATGTTATAATGTTCGATTTGTATTGTCTACATTTGTTCTGCAACAATACAATCTGGCTACACTGCAGCCTACGAGTTGCGCGCGCATGTCATCTTTTATTGCTTTTTAACTTGTATTTATTACAATTAAGCTCTCTTTTTCTATTCATGCGAGATAGGTCTATTTTACCTTGAAGGCGCTTCAACACTACCGTTTTTATGAGTTTCTTCTTTTTGGCACGATTATTTTATGCCAAAAAATGGTAGAAACTTTAAAGTGGTGGTGTTGAATCGCTAGAATCAAACAATGGTGCAAACGATCCACCGGAACGAATAAGATACCGAACGAACCCTAATTGCGTTTTGCATTCGCCAATAAATCCAGAATTACAAAAGCTGACCCCCCCAGTCACTAGAGGCGCTGGAAACTTATAGACATGTTCTCAACACGGCACTTACCTTTCTAAGGGGGGATGTTTTGTGATTATGAGCACAACATATCTGACAACATATGAGTTTGAAAAAATCACTGGTTCCATAGTTATTGACATGGGTGTCAATTATTGGTACACAGGGTGTCAATTATTGGTACACAGGATGTCAATTACTGGAATTTCATTTATTACTGATACAATATCAACAAAAATTACTCCAAAGAGCAGATGAATGAAGTTCTAGCAGCTGTGGCTTATTATTACTCATTTTATATACTCATCTACTGAGAAAAAAAAAATGGTGACAATAACTGGGGTGTCAATAATTGGATAATAGGTGTAAATTACTGGGTCCCCAAATATACATTTAAATTCCATAAGAGAGTCTAATTGTGTCAATCATTAGTGCATTTACCGAAGCATTTACCTTATGCGCAAATATAAAAAAAAATCAATGATTTAAAGCCTACAACTCGCCCTACAACTTTTGTATAAAACTTTTTGTCATGAAATATCTAGATTTCCATATACCGAAATAGGACAAAATAAATGCCAATAAACGGGCCACCCTTTACATTGGGTCTTGGTGGAGTAAGTATCCATACCTTACCTATTTTTCCAGAATATGTAAAAACGGAATTCTTTCAGCAATTTATTTCCAAAATGAGTAAAAAAGGGCTTGTATACAAAGACCTTGTCTACTATTTGGACAACAATGACTCAGACCTTGATATTTTGAGTGATGATGATGATGGATGGGAAATCGACTCCCATCTACCAGAAGCTCGACCATGTTTTTCAAGTTGCGTGTTGGCTAAAGTTGTATTTCAATTATTAGACGCCCAGGATGAAATGTATGAGCCAGAAAATCTAGAATCAGAACCTGAGCAGGATGAGGTGCTTGCAGATATTGCTCAAAAATGTAATTTACATTTGTGTATTGCAAAAAAACAAAATTGTTTTTTGCAATATCACAGTAGAAAATGAATACTTCATAAATACATATTTATTTTTTAATTGCCAAATTTTCAAGATACCATAAATTTAGTATTTTTTTCAGTAGTTCTTGCTTTGGGCATTATCATCCCATTGAGACCCAGTGTACAGAGTGCTGCAATTTGGAGTGTTTTAACAAGAAAAACATACTTCCAGACCAGATAGAGGAAAATTGACTTAGGTGTCATGGGATTAATTTTTGAGAAACGTCGATTGCCAAAAACCGTATCACGATATCTTCAATGGTACTACTGATACAGGGCGATTTTCGATTTTCCCCTATTATGAAAAATAGCTATAAGTTTTTTATTTATCAATTTTTTTCATTTCTGTAAAAACATTATGGAGACACTTTTTTGAGCACAATCCAGCGGCGGACTCAGTTTTTTTCTATATCTCTCCGATTTCGAGATATCGACCAAAGTCCGATATTTTCAAATGAAATACCCTATATATTAATAGATCATTGGATAGCTTCGTTTTTGCTGAAGAAGAATAGCCTTCTGCAATGTGTGTTTTATACTATTTTCTCGATTTTGGATTTTATTTTTCATTTTTAAAATTTTTTTTGTGAACGCTGTTAGTTGGGGATTTTTTATTTTCAAAATATGTGAGTTGGTGACACTTTACTTACCAACTAACTGACAGGTGGATTCTATCATTTTAGAAGGTTTGACAATTTTGAAGGTACCAATAGGTATACTTTGAAAACTGAATGTCACTAAAAATCGTTGAAGAATGAGCTTCATTCTTCAACGATTTTGCGTGCGGGAATAATGACATTCTCACATCAAAATCGAGAAAATCCTTTTCTAACACATTGATCCTTACGACAGAAACAGATATAATTTTTTTTCTCGAAAACTGTTAGAGATAAACCTATCGAACTTTATATCATTGAAATCAGCAAAAATAAAGCTATCCCATGAGCTTTTAATATATAGGGTATTTCATTCGAAAATATCGGACTTTGGTCGATATCTCGAAATCAGAGCGATATAGAAAAAAACTGAGTCCGCCACTGGATTGTGCTCAAAAAAGTGTCTCCATAATGTTTTTACAGAAATAAAAAAAAATTGATAAATAGAATAGAATGAATAGAATAGAATAGTAGCTTTATTTCAAATTAAGTTTTTACAATACATATTACAGCATTACAAAATAACATGAAATGAAATGGCGTCACAAAACAATATACTTAAATTACATATCCAAGTAATCTTTCACACAATATGGTTCTATGTCTATTAACAATTTCTTGGTTTTATTTTTAAATTCCTTGTAGTTTTCTATTATTTTAAAGTCGTTTGGTAATTTATTAAATATTTTAATACAGTTATAAGATGGATTTTTTTCACTTAAAGTTAATCTATGAATAGGATAATAAATATCTGTGGTCCTTGTATTGTATGTGGTGTTAGTGTTTTGTATTAAAAATTCATTTTTGTTTTTATGCAAATATAAGAGGCACTCGTGTATGTATAGACCCTAAACTGTTAAAATACCCAACTCCCTGAATTTGCCTCTACAGGAGTCTCTGAAGCTCATGTTAAGCAATAACCTGATAGTACGCTTTTGGACTACAAAGACTGATTGTGTTGAAGAACTGACTCCCCAGAAAATGATACCGTACCTCATCCGAGACTCAAAATTTGCATAGTAAAGGATTTTTTTAACTTTGTCTTCTACATATCTGTTTAGTACTCTGAGTGCAAAACAAACACCGTTCAATTTTTTCACTAAACTTTCAATGTGTGTTGACCATTTTAGAAATTCATCAATTATAACACCTAAAAATTTAGTGTGCTCTGATATGTCAATTTCCTGATTATGGATACTTATTGCTGATGGTTTCTCTTTTAGTTTATTAGTGCGAAAAATCACAATGCTTGTCTTGCTCTCGTTTATAACTAGTTCATTTTCCTCAAACCAATCCTCTGCTCGAGAATATAGCTCATTGCTTTTTTCTTCCAAGTCATGCCGATCCACTCCGGCGACCAGCAGATTGGTGTCATCCGCATAATTTGTTATTGCAGACTCTTCCAATCCGCTGCACACCGAACTCAGATCGTTTATCATGACCAGGAATAGTATCGGCCCTAGTATGCTCCCCTGGGGTACTCCCACCTGATTTTGCAGCCATCCTGATCTAGATGAGTTATTGTTCCTATGAATTTCCACACATTGCCAGCGATCTGATAAGTATGAGGTCAGCCAACTCAGAGCTCTTCCCTTTATACCATAATTTTTTAGCTTTTCTTTTAAATAGTTTCTGTTTAGGCAGTCAAAAGCCTTTGATAAGTCGATGAATAGCCCAGCAGCTAATTTATTTTCTTCAAGAAATTTGAGTATATTATATGTAAATTGAAAAATTGCTGTATTTGTCGATTTACCCTTTAGATATGCATGTTGTGATGAACTAACCAGATTACATTCATTAAAAAAACTTAACAGTCTAAGGGACATTGCCATTTCAAAGATTTTTGAAAAGCTATTTAGCAAACTTATGGGTCTGTAATTTTCTAATTTTTCTAATTTTTTTTAAATAATAAAAAACTTATAGCTATTTTTCATAATAGGGGAAAATCGAAAATCGCCCTGTATCAGTAGTACCATTGAAGATATCGTGATACGGTTTTTGGCAATCGACGTTTCTCGAAAATTAATCCCATGACACCTAAGTCAATTTTCCTCTATCTGGTCTGGAAGTATGTTTTTCTTGTTAGAACACTCCAAATTGCAGCACCCTGTACACTAGTGTACACTCGAGTGTACATATCAAAAGTCAAAATTGGGTGAAGACAGGGTAGGGTTGCCAGATACTTGAGTTTTGAAAATAGGAGAGCCTGTGTAAAATTATATGAGATTGGATAATAATATATAAGAATATTGTATGTTCTGCAAAATACTTAAATCCGAAAAAACTCCTATCTTGACAATTAGCTATGATTTTTAGCAGATTTTGGAATATATCGCTGGACATTTTTTAGGTAGTTGAATATTCCTCCTGAGTCCTGATCCGTCAGTCTCATTTCTTGTAACAAGTTGTTGACAACACCTTGAGTTTTTTGATGTTTAAACAAATCCCTGACCCAAAATCGTTCTGCTTTTTTTCTGTTTTATATATGAGTCTCATATTAAAAATAGGAGGTCTGGCAACCCTAAGATAGGGTTTTCTAACAAAAACTAAAAATCATTAAAAAATCAAAGGAAAGATGTACCAAATTTCATAATTTTACTCGTAGTTGAAAAAATTTGGGATCGAAAGGGTTAAACGTTAAACCTCTGATCCACCTTCTGTTACCTAATCCAACAAATTGAACATGTTTATTTTTTTAATTTCGAAGGAAATGTTTCACTCAAATTTTGATAGAATATTGGACAGTAATTAAAAAGACATCAAATGAGCCTCAATCCATCCTCCTAGCCCTGGCCCTGCTGATAAGGCAGATCAGATATTTAATAGTTTAATTAATAATTATCGTTTATAGTAAATTGATGAATTAGTGGTGTAATAACAAATACCTAACACTGGGAAAATTTATTTTGTTAGTACCCATCTAAATTATTTGACCGTTTAAAAAAATATATACATTGTATTTTAAAATTATCAGTACCAGTAATAAATTGGTCCCACAAACCAGGACAAACCTATTCTAGTCTGCTACACTAACTTGGCCTTTGGCCTATCAGTGCTTACCACTTTCTTATATAACCTAAAAAGAGAATCTAGAAAATTCTTACTTGATTTTTCCAAATCCTTGGCCGCTTGGGCGGCTCGTTCCAAAGCAGTAGAATCGAAACGGTAGGCCTCCATTTGTCGCCTTTCCGCTCTGGAGAGATTGCTGGGTTCGTTGGGGGCCCCGCTGTCGCCAGCTCCACCGGCACCAGCCGGCGTCCCTAAGCCCATCTGGGCCAAGTCAGGACCTTGATCCTTATTTCGTCCATAGCCGAATATCCAAGACATTTTTATTCAATGGAGTTTTTTTAGAAAATTAGAAATTGAACTTTTCAGAAACTTATGAAACATGGGACTTTTGAGCTTTATTTTTGAGGTTAGTTTTTCCCTTTTTGACAGACATAAAATGACAGATGTGGCAGGCCAAGTCCAAAGTTAGCCGCTTCCAGCTGAACATTTTGAGCACGCAATCGAGCTTTTGCGCACGCAAATGCTTCAGGCGCATTTTCGTGTTCTAGCCGTACTGTGCTTCGAGAGCTGCTAACTTTTGCGTTTCAAACACAGAACACTGTTCTGCACCGTGCTTGAAGCACACAGCTGGAAAGCGGTTGTTGTTTTCGGGTGCCACCTGTTCAGAGATATTTTGAGCGCTCCCGAGTTACTCCGGCTACAGTTTGGCCCGTTCGGTTTTAAGCGTTCGAATGCAAAACGCATGGAGTATGACAGGAGTGAAGTGTTCTCGGAGCTTCGCATTCTGCACCCGAAAGCGGCTCATGTCACAGCAAGGATCATACCAACACCAACGATAGCCGCTTCCCAGCTGACCATTTTGAGCACGCAATCGAGCTTTTGCGCGCGCAAATGCTTCAAGCGCGTGTTCGTGTTCCAGCCGTACTGCGCTTCGAGAGCTGCTAACTTTTGCGTTTCAAACACAGAACACTGTGCTGCACCGTGCTTGAAGCACACAGCTGGAAAGCGGCTGGGGCGAGTTCAGGAATGACACACTGGTCGAGTTCATCAGGAGTGCGTTCAAAGACGGCAATGCTAATGCCAAAACCTACTATTCCCCTTCTACCGGCGATGCCAAATCTGGTGTGAATTTTCTGGAACGCCAAATACTGTTTGTCAATTAGGCAATCCAAACCACGTGACATTCAAGATGGCGTGGCGACCATACATGGACCAAAAAACACAAAAAAAATATCTAGTTTCTGCCCGACTTAATAGTTTACGTACTTAGTTAACAAATATTTTATTGAATAATCAAAAGCAAAGCTGCAAACAAACAAAATAATTGAAATATGCATGAAAACACATATTCAAAACTAACATGCTGGCCGCTATGCCATATTGAATTTGGTCTCATCCAATCAAAATTCGTATAACCATATCTAGACTCAGTTGAAAGAGCCTCCAAAAGTTACTTTACCGCGGCCGATTTGGAACGTGTAAAGCCAACCGTTTTTGGCACGCTGGAGCCGAACTTGAACGCAATATGCCAAATTTGGCTCGGCTTTAGCCGTTTTTGAACGCAGCCCTGGACTAGCGCTACAGTAGCGATCATCAACAGTGTTGCCAGTTTATTACAAATATAGCAAATCTATTACATTTATCAAAGGTTAATTATTTACATTATTATATTTCCAATAAATCTATTATATTTTCACTTATTTAACCAAAAATTATTAAAATTAATGAGTTCCGCTTGAAACATTGAGCGCTCGGACCATTTTCCATCTTTTTTTCCTTTTGGTGAGAAGAACAGGGATAAAATTTGCCACAATTGTAAAAATTTGGCAACACTGCTGCTGATCGCTATTGTAGCGCTACGTCCTGATGAACCCGACCAATGTGTGAGTGTGACACCGGTGCGACGCACTAGCCGTTCATAAATGCTATAGGCACACCGAGTGCGCGCACTCTGTGCCGTTCAGAAAGTACTTTGGGCGCGCTCCAGGTGTCGCACCGGTCACACCATAATTTTTTGGTGTGGCTGCGGTGTGATTGTGTCTTTATGTCAACAATGTCAACCATTCCTCCCATAATCTCAATAATCTCACCAAATATAAACAAAACACAAATAAGAATTAAAGTTTTTCCTTCAAATTAAAAAAATGAAGAACAAAAAAAAGAAATCCTAATAGATTTTGTGAAATTTTTGAGGAGATGCTCGATTGGTCACACCCGGTCACACCAAGCGTTCAGAAATTCATACGAAAGTTGTCGCCTAAGAATTGTCATTTCAGTCACACCCTTAAGGCTCGCTTTCCTCGGATGCGGGACGGAGACGGAACGCAAGCGTGACGGAGTCATAGCGCCTGCCGACGTAACGCGCTTGGAAGCTAGTGCTTTCCTCGAAGGCGACGCAACGTGGGCGGTTCGGCAATCCGTGTGTGAAAATAGGCTATTTTTTATTTCAATAGACATACATAAATTGATAAATTATACAACACAGGATACTGCCACACTAAAATCAATCAACAACTCACTTTGCTCTTCTGTAAAACTCGATATTTTTAAATTTATAATATTCCGTCCGTCTTGCGCTCCGTCGAAGTTGCCTGTCGACCGACCGGTGGCGTGATTCCGCTAGCGTCAAAAAAACTGCGCTCCGCCGCCGTCGCGCCACCGCTGCTTAGGAAAGCACATCTTTATATTTTTAATGCCGGCAACGTCTGCGGCACCCGTTCCGTCTCCGTCCCGCATCCGAGGAAAGCGAGCCTTTGAAATCGCACTCACACCCGGTGTGTTATTTCTGAACTCGCCTCTGATGATACACACAGGGTTGCAGATCTATGAAATGCAAAAGCGGGACTGAGGTTATCCAGAGGGAAAGCACGCTTAAAAATTTTTTCGGGTGCCACGCCCAAAAGCATAAGGGGGGAGGGGCAAGTGCCCAATGTGTCCCCCTCCTATGCACCCCTTTGAGCAAAAGCGCAACAAATTTTTTGGAGCCACGCCCAAATTTTGTTAAGAATTCAACCAAAATTCGACCAGAAAAAACTCCTTTAATAGATAACAAAATAAACGCTTCACGACAACATAACAGAAAATATCATTATTTATACCCTATAAATAAACGTGATGTTTTCGGCTATGGTGAAATATGACGAAAGTTTTTTGCAGATGCTAGTGTGTGCAATAAAAGATTTGGATTTTATTGGAATTTTTGACATTTTTATACCTACAACCAAAGACAATACTACTACGAAGTAGTAGTAGTATTGTCTTTGCTACAACAAACATTTATCATTAAAACCCAAGAATCGTAAACTAACAGGATTGCTCATCCTGAGAAGGCGTACGTTTGTTGGTTCTCGAGTCCACAAGGTCTCCGAGTGACGTCACCACGTCAGCAGCTAATAGTGGTAACGCCACCCGCAGACCGCGATGAAATGCTTGCGATTCAGGCTCGTTATTTGATTTTTGCGTCGATTTTAAATGAAGAAATAGCTATTTATGTAAGTTGTAAAATGAGCGTGTTTTTTGCACCAAATGTGAAGATTGGGTGGAAAAAGCGGGAAAACCGGGACAATTCACGTGAGAAGCGGGACCTGAAATTAATAGGGACATAAAGCTACTTGAAATAATTCGCCGGTATCGGTATCGGTATCCGTAACGCAACTAGATACGTTGACAAGCGAAAAGGCTGTTAAAGCGCTCCCTGTTCCGGTAAACGTAAACGCATCTCATAACCTGGAAATTTTTGTCCCAAAACTCCGGCGTTTTTATATCTAACCTTAAAATTGTTAGTTTTTTTTTTGCGATAGAGAAGCACTAAACACACAAGAAACTCAAGAAAGTATAAACTAAACAAATTAAATCAACCCGGAAGAAAAGTGAGGTTATATTCATTTAAAATTTGACACATGCGACGCGTCAGGAATGTCAAGATACGTTACCGATACGGATACCGCGAGAGGGCCGTAACGTTACGTTGTACGTACGGTATCTCGGCCTCCGTATCGCTTCTGCACATGCGCAGTACGATACCGATACGGATACCGAGCAAAAAATACGGAAGCTTTATGTCCCTAATGAAAAAAAAGGCGGGACCGATTAACAAAATGCGGGACTGTCCCTCCTAAAGCCTAGTACTCATAACTGCGAAATTCGCATTTTTTTGACATTGCGTTGACAAATTGACGTTTTATGCGTGTATCAAACGTCAAATTGTCGAAGCAATGTCAAAAAAATGCGAATTTCGCAGTTATGAGTACTAGGCTTAAGGTGGGACGTCTGGCAACCCTGGATACACACTAGTAGGGTTGCGTTCAGGAAAAGCTACAGCCAAGCCAAAATTGGCATTTTGCGTTCGAGTTCGGCTCCGACCTAACGTGGTTCGGCATTACCGGGCTGCGTTCAGGAATGGCTATAGCCAAGCCAAAATTGGCATTTTGCGTTCGAGTTCGGCTCCGACCTAACGTGGTTCGGCATTACCGGTGGAAGGGGAAAAGTAGGTTTTGGCATTAGCATTGCCGTCTTTGAACGTACCCCAGGCGTCACGCATTATCCCACTTTTCGCGTTTCCATATCTAAATTTTCGAATTTGCTGCCACATCAGTGATCACCTGACCAATGTCAAAATGTACTTTTAGGTTATCGGACATGCAGGATCGATCGCACATAAGAAAAAACTACAAATGAAAAATTTCCCCATATAGCGAACATTATGGGGGACACTGTACATAATATAATAAATAATTCTTGCTGATCTATCTCTAATAAAAGAGACGGAGGTCGGTTAGTTGAATTTACCGCCCAATCGTGCATAAAAGAAGTTTATCCTACAGAAAGACGTTTGAGTGTTTTTCTGGGATTTTAGATTCTTTTATACATACATGTATATCTTCTATATCTATCTAGTAGAACCATCAAATTTTCCAATTCGAAGAAAAACACCCAAAATATGCAAAGAAACCTCACACGTCTTACAAAAAGAAAAACAAAATTGAATGAAAACCCAAGTTTCCTTGGTTCCTTAGTAACCGGTTATTAAATTTGATAGTTGTGGAGCGCGACGCTCCGTTCCTAAAAAATACCGCGACAAATACCGACCCATCTCTACCACAGATGTTTGTCCCTTGCCGCCATATTGAATTAATATCTTTAATCTGAATTTTATTTTTTCTTCTGATTTTATCTTTGGATTTTATAGATGCTTATAACAAATAATGGATATACGAAATTTGGATGGAAGTAGGGTCAAATTGGCATTGGAGACTCTTCATGCAGAAAGTCAAGGTAAATTTTCGCCAAAAAGTTTAGGTTAGGTACCTCAAAAAATGAGACTATGAGGTCGATGGGCCCCAAATCCCATGTTAAGCTGGGTTTATACAGTATATAGGAAACGAAATAAAATAAAATGAAATTGAAAGATTGCCTTAGGCCCAAATTATGGACTGACTGGTAAACGTCTGGTTGTTACCTAGCGGGTACTTTCTATGCACTAGAGAATAGAAAGTACTTGCTAGGTAACAACCAGACACTTACCAGTTGTTCCATAATTTGGCCCTTATGGGGAGCCACGGTGGCGCTTATATACAGAAGGCAGTGGATAGAGGTCCGAAAATTCGGACCTCTAGTGTTTATATTAGATCCGATAATTTTCGGATTTTCAATTTGTATATTTAGGGGTCCGAAAATGCGGATCTTTAGTGGTAATTGAAGATCCGAAAATAGATGTTTATTTCTAATTCTGTCTAATTTAGGAATATTATCGTCGCAAGTATCTACAAAGAATAATATTTGAGATAAGTCTGTTTCTGCAGAAATCACAAACCAGTCAGAGTGAATTTCATTGGTTGAAACTAATTTTCTGACTGTTTTTGACTATTTTTAACCAATAAAATTTGCTCTGACTGGTTTGTGATTTCTACAGAAACAGACTTATCTGGAATATTATTTTTTGTTAATATTTGCAACGCCATTTTAATGGAACTCTTTCCCAAGAACCAAATTGATGATATTAGTTAGGTTAGAATCGCAAATTGGCGCGGGTTCCTAGTTCAAAAATTAATACATTGATGTCTTATGGGGACTCAATTTTAAAAGCGTCTGTAGTCGTGATAGAACGTTTGTTACGAAATTGAGTTGTATAAATAGTTTTTTTAATACGTTAATTAACTGAGAGAGTGATTGAAAGTTGAATAAACATTGTTAAAATAAAAATATTACCAATTTAAGAAGCCGATGTTTATATAAAATACGTATGTCCTTGCTTGATTCATAAGTATATATGAGTACCTAATTATAATAAAATAAAAGTTCACCTACATACTTGGTTAGTAAATGTACTTCAATAATCCAAAAAAATTGAAAAATAAATGACTGAACTAGTGATAAATAAATAAATAAACAATTCACCAACAATCATAACACAACACACAACCTCACTTTCTCTCAGCTGGTTTAAGACTCTACAGTCTACGTACGTCCACCGAAAACAGACACTTTTAATTAAAATCATTTGTATTTTTAATTCATAGGTCTAAAAAAACAATTAGAGCATGAATTATAGAGAAATATGTTCAAAGTTTGATGTACAATAGGTTCCAATACTAAGAAATGCCCAGAACCCAAGATATTCCCTAGGAACCCATTTTAAATTTCGCGCCCGATTTTTCTTAACCTAATAGTCGGGGAGCTGGCATCGAAAATATGCAAGAGTTTTCGCAAGGCTCATATTTTCAGAATGAGTAGCATTTTAGTACTACAAAGCTAGGCTACAGTCAGCAGTTCCAGTTCCGGGACACCTGGCGCTGAGATGCGCGCAAAGGTGTATTTTTAATCAACACCTCGCAACAGTTTTCGCAAAGCTGAAAATTTGCAAAGAACATGCGAATATAATGTAGAACCATAATTTAACAGTCAGACAAAGAAATACGGGGACACGTAGAGTCAGCGCGACTTTGAAGTGGTCAAAAAAATGACGTCACCGAAAGTGTTTTCGCATGGCTGAAATTTGGCAAGGTAATAGTAAAAACAATATATTTATTGAAAAAAACAGTCAGACACTTCTATGTCGGGACCCCGTCAGTCAGCAGTCGATTAGAGTGATATAGGTGGTACCGCGTCATTAGGCATATATCCATGTCGAATAATAATTTCACCAAAAGAGTTTTCGCATAGCTGAAATTTGGCAAGGTAATAGTAAAAACAATATATTTATTGAAAAAAACAGTCAGACACTTCTATGTCGGGACCCCGCCAGTCAGCAGTCGATTAGAGTGATATAGGTGGTAGCGCGCGTCAATAGGCATATATCCATGTCGAATAATAATTTCACCAAAAGTGTTTTCGCATAGCTGAAATTTGGCAAGGTAATAGTAAAAACAATATATTTATTGAAAAAAAACAGTCAGAGACTTCTATGTCGGGACCCCGCCAGTCAGCAGTCGATTAAAGTGATATAGGTGGTAGCGCGCGTCAATAGGCATATATCCATGTCGAATAATAATTTCACCAAAAGTGTTTTCGCATAGCTGAAATTTGGCAAGGTAATAGTAAAAACAATATATTTATTGAAAAACACAGTCAGACACTTCTATGTCGGGACCCCGCCAGTCAGCAGTCGATTAGAGTGAGATAGGTGGTACCGCGTCATTAGGCATATATCCATGTCGAATAATAATTTCACCAAAAGTGTTTTCGCATAGCTGAAATTTGGCAAGGTAATAGTAAAAACAATATATTTATTGAAAAAAACAGTCAGACACTTCTATGTCGGGACCCCGCCAGTCAGCAGTCGATTAGAGTGATATAGGTGGTAGCGCGCGTCAATAGGCATATATCCATGTCGAATAATAATTTCACCAAAAGTGTTTTCCATAGCTGAAATTTGGCAAGGTAATAGTAAAAACAATATATTTATTGAAAAAAACAGTCAGACACTTCTATGTCGGGACTCCCTCAGTCAGCAGTCGATTAAAATGATATAGGTGGTAGCGCGCGTCAATAGAATTTTACTCTATATATAATATCCATTTCGATGAATAATTTTATTTTTATAATTTAAATTATTTGGAATCGGAAACGGTAAAATAAAATTGTACATGCAGTTAAAAAGTTTGCGGTTAGAAAAAAGCCCGATTCGTATAAATATTACTTGACCATTTAATCAGCAGTACTGTGATAGTATACCTATAGTAAGTTTTATTAAATACTTATAATCGTCGCCGATTTTATAAAATACAAAAAAAAAAAATTCTAATCACATCTGCCGCTTCCCTTCTCCTAATCTCGACCTAACAGTACCATAATGAAGTTTCCGAATTCGAATGCATATACGCCTTATTCAAGTATACGCGCTTACGCTTGCAACTTACAGGTTTACACTTACTCATTAAGAGAAAAGAAAATGTATTTTACCGTTTCCGATTCCAAATAATTTAAATTATAGAAATAAAATTATTCATCGAAATGGATATATATATAGAGTAAAATTCTATTGACGCGCGCTACCACCTATATCACTTTAATCGACTGCTGACTGAGGGAGTCCCAACATAGAAGTGTCTGACTGTTTTTTTCAATAAATATATTGTTTTTACTATTACCTTGCCAAATTTCAGCTATGCGAAAACACTTTTGGTGAAATTATTATTCGACATGGTTATATGCCTATTGACGCGCGCTACCACCTATATCACTTTAATCGACTGCTGACTGGCGGGGTCCCGACATAGAAGTGTCTGACTGTTTTTTTCAATAAATATATTGTTTTTACTATTACCTTGCCAAATTTCAGCCATGCGAAAACACTTTCGGTGACGTCATTTTTTTGACCACTTCAAAGTCGCGCTGACTCTACGTGTCCCCGTATTTCTTTGTCTGACTGTTAAATTATGGTTCTACATTATATTCGCATGCTCTTTGCAAATTTTCAGCTTTGCGAAAACTGTTGCGAGGTGTTGATTAAAAATACACCTTTGCGCGCATCTCAGCGCCAGGTGTCCCGGAACTGGAACTGCTGACTGTAGCCTAGCTTTGTAGCACTAAAATACTACTCATTCTGAAAATATGAGCCTTGCGAAAACTCTTGCATATTTTCGACGCCAGCTCCTGGACTATAACTAATATGGTCAATATAAATTTCCTTTAAAACTTGCCCATAAAGGAAGACCCAAGGGATATCAATTTACTGCATTTGGACTAAAAAGGTCTAAGAAAAATAAAAGTGTTTTATTCAAAAATGAAGTTCCTAAACGGAGGCACCAGAGATAATGCTTAATGCAATTTCAAATACAGAAGATTTGGAAAGAAAACATTCTTCATCATCAACAAATTGATCCACTTCTTCTTGAAGAAGAAATATCTTCAGCAGAAATAGAAGCATATGTTTGTCAGGATTCTTATGTTTTATTACAAAAACGAATTGAAAAAAAAACAAATAGTATTCTAAAATGGATTTGTGATATATGTAACAACGTGATACATGAAGATGAAATTCTGCCTGTCTTGCATTGTCCATGGAGACTCCACCTACACCGGAAATCCAGATTGAGTCTTCCAAACAGGAACCGTTTAACTCTAGTTCCCTACTTCAGGAGCTTGCTGCCTGTAACTTCGAGAACTTTCCCATGATCCATCAACCACCAAAATTATGCATCAGCAATTCAATTGAAAAACCGGTCAATTATTGTACTATTAATAATAATATTAAAAGATTATTAATTTTGGGCCATCAAAATGGCTATGGTTTGGGTTCATTAATTCAAAGCTCTAATGAAGAACTGACTGTCCAATCAATTATAAAGCCCAATGCAATGTTTGTGGATGTTATTGAAGACATGGCTAATTTATCAAAAGATTTCACTCTTGAAGACTTTGTACTGGTTTTAGCTGGTTATAATGACCTAAAGAATAAAAAATATCCGTCATTTAAGTCAATAAATAGCATATTTAAAAAATTGGGTCATACTAACCTTATAGTTTTATCTGTACCTTATAAGAATAATTGTGATTTCACTGTGAATAGAGCTATTTTTAGGTTTAATAATAAGTTGTGTCTGTATATGAATAGACTGAACCAATTTGTGGACGGTAAATTCTGTTTTCTAGATTTAAATTTTAGGGGTACCTTATTAAGAAGGAAGGAACTATGCAAGCGCGTTTCAAGTATTTTAGTTTCAAGCTGCCCTAACAAAAACCTAACTTTTGTGAAATTGTGCGATATGAATGAAAGTGTTCAGGTATTCAATAATAATGCCAATACAGATATCCCTTTGAATACCTCCGCTGAA